CACTTCCTCATGTAGATCACCATGAAGGAAGACATTGTTGACGTCGAGTTGTTCCAAGTGCCAATTCTTAATGGCAGCCACTGAGAGAAGGGTTCGAATAAAAGTAAGCTTCGCAACATGTGAGAAAGTGTCGAAATAATCCACACCCTCCAGTTGAGTATATCCTTTTGCTACCAAACGGGCCTTGTATCGTTCGATGGATCCATCAGCATGATGCTTGATTTTGTAGACCCATTTGCAACCAATCGATTGTTTGCCTGCAGGCAAATCAACAACAGACCAAGTATTTGTAGATTCAAGAGCATCTAACTCAGATTTCATAGCATTGTTCCAACAATCAAACTTGCAGGCTTGTTTATAGGTTTTGGATTCTGTGAAAGAGCTTATGGATAGGCAAAATAGTTTGTGATCAGGACTACATTGGCTATAAGATAATACAGAAGAGAGAGGGTAGTTAGAGGAACCTGAGTCAGATGCTGGTAGCATGAGGGATAGCAAATTGCAGTGATAATCAGATAGATAAGCTGGAGGTTTAATATTTCGATTCGATTTTCTGGTTGGCACAGGAGGGGAGGGGCAAGGGGAGTTGTTAGTGTCATTTGAGGAAGAAGAGAGGTTAGTGGGAGAATTTGGCTGGGGGAGAGAGGTAGGAGAGGAAGGTTCATTTGATGGTGGAGGTAAGATGGGTGGAATGTTGGTGAAAATATCAGGTGAATCAAGGGAAGGGGGGTCAGGAGTAGGAATTATAGGATTAGGTGCAGGTGGGATGGATGCAAAAGGGAACACAGTTTCATAAAAGAATACATTCCTTGAAATGTAAAATTCATGTGTGATAGGATCATAGAGAAGGTAGCCTTTTGTGCCTTCCCTGTAGCCAAGAAAAATAGATTTCCTTGCTTTTGGTTCGAATTTAGTGCGATGGTTAAGCAAGGTCGAAGAATAGGCAAGACAACCAAAGACTCTCATATGGTTAAGGCTGGGAGGAGTAGAATGAAGTTTTTGGTAGGGAGAGTGGTTGTTTAAAAGAGGAGTGGGAAGACGGTTTATAATATGAATGGCCTGTTGTATGGAAAGGTGCCAAAGGTTGTGAGGGAGGTGAGAGTGGAAAGAGAGGGCACGGGCAACATTCAAAATGTGCTGATGTTTTCTTTCCACGATACCGTTCTGTTGAGGCGTTTCCACACAAGACCTTTTATGAATGATTCCTTTAGAAAGGTAGAAAGTGGTCATGAGAAACTCATGACCATTATCACTACGAATGCACTTGAGTTTCTTGTTAAATTGAGTTTCGATAAAAGATATGAAGTGAATTAAATGGTTTCTGGTTTCACTTTTGTTGGCCATAAAAATTGTCCAAGTAAACCTGCTGTAATCGTCTACGAGGGTTAAAAAATACTTTTGGCCACATATGAAAGGTGTGGAAAGAGGGCCCCAAATATCGACATGAAGTAAATCGAAGATGGCAACAGACTTAGTATTACTGTGAGTAAATGGCAAATGTTTTTGCTTAGCCAAATGGCAAGTATTACAGGGCTTATGATTGTCATTGTAGGTGACAAAAGGAAATTGAGAGGAAATACATTTGTGTATGTAAGGACTTAAGTGTCCAAGCCTAAGATGCCAAATAGTAGCAGGATCGTGTTTAGCAGGTTCTAATTGGGGAGAAGAGGAGGTGTTGACAGAGCCAGATGTGGGAGAGATGGCCTTAGGTGGGGTGGCATCAAGAACATACAATTTGCCAATCCTCCTAGCTGTAAATCCAGTCATCTTGGATTGGGACAACTGCATAATTTGACAGCAATTAGGGGAAAATTTCACATCATATAAAGTGGAGTCAAAAAGAGTGGTGACAGAGATAATATTGACATGAAAGGAAGGAAAGTAATAAACATTGTGAAGGACAAGTGAATCACATAGTAAAACTGAACCAGCAATAGTTGTAGTGACAGAGTCACCATTAGGCATTGACATAGATTTAGGTGCAATGTGGTATGTGGAAAGGAAACTGGCAAAGATATGGGTGATGTGATCAGTGGCACCTGTGTCAATGATCCACCAGTTATGACAAGGAAGATTCGAGGAATTCTTACCAGAGGAAGTATGAGGAGAGGTATGGGAAACAGAATTAGCAGTATAAACTAAATTAATCGAGGGAGGTGAAGGAGATTGCAAATTAGACTGTTGGAGGAGCTGCAGAATCTGAGTGTATTGCTCTTGAATCGTAGACAAAGCACTTGGACTGGTGTTTGATGTGGAAGCAGAGGAAGATAATGCCTCAAGTTGAGGAGAAGCAGCATCTTGAATAGAGTTCACTGTAGAATCAACAGAATTCTCCACAGATGTCGCGTTGTTGAAATCCAGGGGGATAGCCATGTTTCATGAAACAAGTCTCAATGGTGTGATTGGTGCGGTTGCAATGAGTACAGAGTCGGTTTCCACGGCCACCACGGCCACGACCACGACCAGGGTTGTGAGAAGAACGAGAAGGTGCTTGAGAAAGGTGATTCACAGACGATTGAGACTCAATTGAAGAAGCAGAAGGTGAAAGAAGGTTGAATTGACGTTCTTGTTGAAAAACCAGATTAAACACATTATCAAGAGTTGGTAGTGAGGTCATCAACATAATCTGCGAGCGAACATGAGCGTATTGGTCACCAAGGCCCTTCAAGAACTTGATAACTTTATCTTGTTCTTTGAATTTGCGTAAGTCTGAAGCAGCACCACAGGAGCACGATATAGCGCAAGTACAATCACGAATTGGCCGAAAGTTCTCGATTTCTTCCCAAAGCGTCATCAATTTCGTGAAGAACGAAGAGATATCGAGAGTTCCTTGTTGAAGACGAGCAACAGTTTCTTGAATGTCAGCAATGCGAAAAATATCTCCCTGAGAAAAACGATTTTCCAAACTTTTCCATACAAGAGAAGCACGATCATACCAGAGAAGAGATTTTGCAATTTCCTCAGAAATCGAGCGTTGAAGCCATGAGAGGACGAGATTGTTGCATCGCAGCCAAGGTTCGTATAGAGAGTCGGAGATAGGCGGAGGAGAAAGAGTGCCATCAACGAACTTGATCTTGTTCTTGGAGATAAGAGTCACTTTCATCGATCTAGACCAGATCTGGTAGTTCTTGGTATCAAGAACAGGTTGAACAAGAACAAGAGAGGGATTCTCATTAGGATGCATGTAGTAAGGATTGGTAGCAAAATCAGAGTAAGGAAGCGCCATAATCAAGCTGATGCAGCAAAGGAAGAAGAAGGCGCGAAGGCGCGAAGAAGATGAAAGGAAAAGGAAAGGCGCGGAAGTGAAATTTCAAACTGATACCATGTTAACTTTGGAATGCCAAGAGAGAAAAAGTAAAATGGAATAAACTCATTGTATTATTCTTCTTTTGGAATGTACAAGACAGTACTATATATACTGTTAAGTAACAAACTAAACTGTTAAGTAACAAACTAAACTAACTGTTAAGTAACAAACTAAACTGAATTATTTGCATTATGTAATATATCTCTAAAAATTTATATCGATCCCTCAATCAAAATAGAAAATGAGCTAGAAATGACAATAAAAAATAGTCATGTTGGTCCATGAGCCTTGGGAGCCCTTAATATCTGTTGCGCAGAGATCGGAGTTGGTCTCTATGCTCAGACAGTTAGTGTTACTATTTCAGGAGGCTGGGGATGCAGAAATGAGTATTTGCAAAGACACTCCAATCATCAATTAAGCAAGAAATTGTTAGGTACATTAAAAACTGGTACCTGAGGTCTATGAGGCCTGTGAATACTTTAAGTTTGAGTGTTGGGCAGTCACAACTCAATCACTCGAGGCCACATTCTCAACCTCCAAGAAGTGTAACTCCCAGGTCGGAAGTGTGTTTCTTTACCCTACCCTGGCTTCACACCGGATCAAGTTAATTACAGCTGGTTTGTGCTGAGGAATAAGACGGGCCGTATTTTTATCCAGGGAGTGGTTGGATTTAGGGTGTCCCGTAGTCAGTAGCTGTAAAATTAATCCGACGAGGATGTAGAGTACATTTAAGGGGCAAGAGCAACTTCTCCAGCACCAGGATTTGAGCCTTGGACATGTGGTTGAAGAGTCCAAACTACTAGCTACTAGGGCCATACTCTGTTGGGCCGAAACTGGGCTCTTTTGGATGTCCAAAACAAGTATCATGACTTATGGCATAACCCTTTAGTTACACGTGAATATACATTTACTAGAAATATGGCATTGCTCTGGTTTATTATATGTAACCTTAGTTTGAAATCACATATTTGCAGGAACTTTCCTTGAGGGGTTTCTGGTTGCAGAATTGGTTGAACACTGATAAAGCTGAAGAGGGCAGAAGAATGATAGACAGGCTTTTGGGTCTTGTAAAAGATGGAAAGTTAAAATACAAGTATGTGTTAAAATTCAATTGCTCATAAAATTTAAAATTTATGACCCTCTCTTTTTCTCTCATTCAGTTGACACATTAACCGGTCACCCTATTCTGCAGGATGGAATTGACACCCTTTAACGATTTCAATACAGCATTAGATAAAGCTCTAGGAAAACTTGGGAGCCAGCCCAAGCAAGTGATCAAATTCTAAATTGGGATTGGATTTAAGGCTTGTGGTTGATATTACTTTCTGCAAGGAAGTAGTTATGCATTCTATTTGGCATTTCTATCTTGCTCTTGTAGGAATCTCGTGTGTATGATCAGAGGTATGATTAGGGAAGGAACCTATTGTTCACTTGTTTTGCTAAATCCCTATGGAATTTTTTGGGGCCAGAATAATTTATGATTTTTCAATCAGCTATATTTTTGGGGAAACTGTAGTGGTGTTCCACAAATTTACACAGATTAATATCTTTTAATAATGATGAGTGATAAACTTTAACACAAGTTATAACAATTGATCTTAATTAAATTTAATGTAAACACACATTCAAGTGGTAAATGAAAAGAAGAAAATTACATGAAAATATATCAACTAAGAGTAACCAAACACCTTGTTCAAGTAGGCATAGCATAACGACACAAGGGGCATACATGACTTGTTTGTAGCCACTGCACAATACAATTATAGTGAAATATATGACCACACGCCATTGTTGAAACTTTCACGTCATCACTATCACCATCTTCTTCTAAATCATCATGAAATTTCTTCAAGCATATGGAACAATTACGAGGAAGTGAATAGGGCTTCAGAGACAAGATAGCTTCATTAGATGCCGGAATCATTTTGACAAATTGCAAAGACTCTTCTATCATCTCTTGATTTCTTCTTTCTTCACGTGGATACACGTCCACAAAAATGTTTACAATCACAGGAATAACCTTCTCTAGATAATCATTACTCACTGGTTCTTCAAGTCCAACAAACTGATTGGAGATGTTGAATAACTCTTTGACTTGGGGTACTAAATTTCTTGTTAACTGGCTAAGGTTTTCAAAAGTGAAATAATGGAATGACGAGATGATTCTATGTAAATGAAACCATAACAAGTATTGGTTACTTTTGAAAAAATGTTCACAATTTATAAACATCAGTTTTCTAAACATGGTTGATACATTCATAATCTGACTTTGAGGATTTGAATGCTTTCGAAGTATAGCAGAAACATCTAACTCAAATATATCTAATGAGTATGTAGGCTTTCTTGATTGGCCTTTAGAAACATTAAGAGTGAACTCAACTCTTTCTTCCACCATAGTATCCAACTATTTCTTCTCAAATTTTTGTTGATAAATTAATACTAGTTGTGACTTATTTATAGGAGAAGTGGTGAGTGTGAAGGATGGAGAAAATATAGGATCTACGAAAATAGATAAATATCTTGAATTTAAAGATAATTATAATGATATATAAAATTGTTCACCAAATCTTTCGAATAGATCATCAAATTAAAGATAAGTTTAATGCTTTGGTGAAAGAAATTAAACAAATCAGATTATTGGAGAAAAAGAAGGAGAAAATACGGGATATGTAGAAAGAAAAGGTTTTATAGTCTATAGAATTTAATTCTTGATGGAAGAGAAATTCGATTTTAAACATCAATATTTTTAATTTAAGAAGAAAAAAAGAAAATAGTAAAAATACGAGAAGAAAAATATTTGCTAAATATATGAGAAGATTTAGTATATATATGCTAATTGAATGTAAATAAGATCATTCAGTTATAAAAGATTATATTTGATAATCAATTTAACATACTTTATCTATTCCTTATATTATATTTTCACTAATTAAATAATTAAGAGGATTTATTGAAATAAATTTATTAGTAAATATAAATAAATATATTTAAACTATATAAGGATATTTTCTAAGATGAATTATGCATTAATATAGTTATCGTTGATTCTTTTCTTAAATTATAAACTTAATAAAAAATATACTTGATAATGCTATTTTTAGATTTTTGTTACAATACTATTTTTTAAGCCGATTGTTTTTACTAGAGAAAGCTAAGCTGTTTTTAAAAGTCTATTTAGCAAAACAAAACATACTTTAAATAAACCATAAAAAAATCATTTAGGCTATTATTTATATTATTACATTAACTTGAGCATTGAGTTATAAATTTGAGAACTTTTTCAGTAATTTAACCATATTAATGTATTATTAGAAAAATAATTATACTATGATATGATGTCAAATCAAATGTTATAAAATATAATTTAAATATTAAAATAGAACATAACCTCATGATTAAGTTAGTTTTAAAATCTATTTAAATATAAATAAGATTTCTTATTTAAAAATATTGAAATTTAATTCAAATGATAAGAGCCGATATTGTTAGATTGAATATTATCATCAGATTTCAAATTCAAGATTGTATCTGTTAAATTTTAGTGATTATTACCACTTTGTCTACATATTAAAAATATTTTTTTAAGAAACTAAAATGATATATTAAATATCAAAAAGCTCTTCTAACACAAGTAGTACCAGAAGGATTTCAAATATAAAGTTACACCAACAATCTGACCAAAAAATGCATCAACGAAAAATAAAACCCAACACTATAAGTCACAAGCTATTATACTCCGCAAAGAATTTAACCTTCAACTCAGGTAATCAAAAGTGAACGATCGGAAATGAGATTTCAACCACCAGAAAGATTGAAGTTTAACCTTTTCATAAATAGAAATCAATGAATAACTAATGTTCTGAAAAACCCGTTGGTTCCGCATTTTCTAAATGATCCACACAACTGCCACCCAAATGATGTGAAAGGCGTTACAACCTAATTTTGACCAACCACCAAATGCCACAAAGTGATCATGTTGTTCCTGAAGATTACCTGAAAAACCGTGAAAACCCTAACCAACCAGACATCATCGGCCAAATTTTATCATAAAAACCACACTGAACAAATATATGATTCCTGTCCTCCAACTGACCACACTCTGCTCTACAGATCTGCTCCCCAGCACTAATAATTCGACGCCTAACCAAATTATCCTTCGTCGATAGCCTGTTACAATACAACCGCAAACAAAAAGATTAATCTTTGGTGGCACCACTTTATACCACCAATAATGAGAATCACCGTATTGTTGTGGATCCGTCGATTTCAACAAAAGATTATAAACACTCCTAGCATTATACCGATTTGAAGAATTAATTTCGCTTTAACGCTACACAAGTTCTGATGAACAATAGCAAGACACTCTAAAAGACTCTGAAGTGTAGGCTCTGATATGAAGTCTAAAGAAACCAGTCAGAAGATCTGAAGACATAAGTTTCTACTTAAGTCCAGATGCTAAAGACTCAGTTTTCTGACGAAAACATGTTATAAAGAAACAAGTCATAAGATCTGAAGACAAAAGTTTCTACTTAAGTCTAGATGCTGAAGACTAATGCTTTTGAAGACAAAGGGTTTTCAAGACCAAGTGCTGAAGATTCTAATAGATGAAGTTCTAAAGACTCTGAAGACTTGAAGTTCTAAAGACCCATGGATCTAAGAAAAGGGTTCTAAAGACCAAGTGCTAAAGACTCTGAAGACATAAGTTTTAAAGACTCTAAAGACTTGAAGTTTTGAAGACCCAAGGTTCTAAGAAAAGGTTCTCACGACCAAGTGCTGAAGACTCTGAAGACGCGGTTCTGAAGACTCTGAAGACTTGAAGTTCTGATGACCTTATGTTATGTTCTCACTTCTAAACTCATGCTTGTAGAAGCCTCTGAAGTGCATAAGGAAATAAGATAACGTTAATGTGGTACAAATAGTACATGGTATAATCAATGTTTCATTCCACTACCATGAAAGGACGGACGCGTTGCATGATCTTGTCCCCCACGTGATTGCTCAAGCCGCCAATATTTATGGAAATCCCAAGAGTACCTCTCAATGAATATATTATTTTATTGGCTATATAAAGTCTTGAAGACTAAGATAAAGAAGCTAATAACTTTTACTGTATATCTACACACAAGCGCTGTTTATAGCTTTCATATTCTTAAGTCATTGTTCTTAAAATAGTTTACATATTCAGCTTGTGTAGAAGCAATATTATTATAAACAAAACTTGTATTCAAATAGTTGTTTGATTTCCTTAAGGGATCGGTTAGGTATGTATCCTTAAGAAGTCTAGGACTAGTGTGTCTTAGAAGTTTGATTTTCCTTAAGGGATCATTTAGGTCTTTATCCTTAAGAAGTCTAGGACTTGTGTGTCTTAGAGGTTGTTAGTCACTTGCGGGTAGCTTGTGCATTGTAATAATCAGTTGGATTATTGAATTACGTCCTCGATTGAGAGAGACGAAATCACCTTGGCGGGTAGACTAGACTAACTTGATAGTTTTCAAGTGAACTGGTATAAACGTACCTTGTTCTTTACTTGCTATTCTTAATTATTGTTATTATCAAGAGTGAAGGAAAAAGTATTTTAATTAAAGGGGAATATTTTTAAAATAAAATTTTTGATTTAAAACCCAATTCACCTCCCCACTTTCTTGTGTTTTTCACACCTTCAATTGGCATCAGAGGAGATAAAAAGTTTGCATTTTTATCAACACTTAACAATATTCAGTATCAATCCAGTGTGTGTGAAAAACCAATGGCTACACCTACTTCCACTGTTGATAATAGGGATAACGGTAGAGATCACTATAGTTCAAAACCTCCTATGTTTGATGGGGAAAATTTGACTATTGGAAGGATAGAATCGAAAGTTACTTTCTGGCATATGACTTGGATCTATGGGATTTAGTAGTTGATGGCTACACTCATCCAGTAGATGATAAAGGTCAGAAGATTGCAAAAAGTGCAATGACAGAAGCACAAAAGAAAGTTTACAAGAATCATTACAAAGTAAGAACTATTGTGCTTAGTGCTATTTTATACAATGAATATGAGAAGATCACAGATAGAAAGACTGCAAAATCTATCTTTGATTCTCTTCATATGATGCATGAAGGTAATACTTAAGTAAAGGAAACAAAGGCTCTGGCCTTAATTCAAAAATATGATACCTTCAAGATGGAAGACAACGAATCTGTGGAAACGATGTTTTCAAGATTTCAGACTCTTGTGGAAGGACTTAAGGTCCTGAATAAAGGTTACTGTACAACATATCATGTTAATAAGATAATCAGGAGTCTGCCTAAAAAATGGAGACCAATGGTAACTGCTTTGAAACTTTCAAAGGATCTGAACAACTCCTCTCTTGAGGAGATGATTAACTCTTTAAGAAGTCATGAGATTGAGCTTGATCAAGATGAACCCAAAAAAATAGTTAAGTTTATGGCTCTAAGGTCTAAGTTTGGAAAGACAAGGGATCATCAAGCTAAGGAAGATTCAGAAGAATATGAAGAAGATTCAAATGATGAAGAACTTTCATTGATATCCATAAGAATTAGTAAAATATGGAAGCATAGACAAAGATAATTCAGAAGTCAACGAAGAACTTATGGAAGAGGTGAATCTACTTTTGGTAAGAAGAATTCTTCTGGAAAAGAAGTTACTTATTATGAGTGCAACGAGCCTGGACATTACAAAAATGATTGTCCAAAGCTCAAGAAAGACAAGAAGCCTAAGAAGGCTTACAAAGCTAAGAAGGGTCTCATGGAAACATGGGATGATTCAGAATCAGAAGATGAATATTCTAATGAAAAGCATGCAAACGTGGCATTCATGGCCAGAACCAACATAAAGAAAGAAACATTAGAATATGAGCTGGCACTTGATTATGAGTCAGACTCTGATGACGACCAAGAGGTACTTTCTTCCATATCTCATTCTGAACTTGAAATTGGTTTATCTGAATTAATGAAAATATATCAACTTCTTCTAAGTAAACACAAAATCTTGAAAAAGAGTTTTGTAGCTACTTCTTAGAACACTTCTATAGATGAGCAAAATATTTCTAACTTAAATGAAAAACTTATTTATTTTAGAAAAATAAAATATTTCTCTAACACATCTGTTACTGACGAAGTAATCAGATACCAAAGAGCTTTTTCAACACTTCCTTGCTAAAAACATATGTAGAAGTAAAATGACTTCAATGATCTATGGTGTTAGTAGAAATAGAAGCAGAGGCTTGGGATATTCAGAAACATCAAAGAAAATTGATGAGACTCTGAATGTCAAATCGAAACCTCTTTCTGAACATTTTGTGCCTCCTAGCACAAATTTTAAATGTCAAGAACAAGAAGGTTTTAATACTATTGTAGCATAAACAGAGACACAAAAGGAAACTTCTAA